TTTTTTATTTTTTATTGACCAAAATGTGTGTCCATGGGCTCAGAAAAATAATCTTGTTAAAATTTTCTTTTAATAAATAATTGACAGATTTTTTTTCTTGTTTTAAGCTTAAACTCACTTAATTTTGATAAATTTTTTTAGAAAACCAGATTTAATATTTCAAGTCGATTTGCTCCTCAAGTAAATATGTCTTGATTTAAGAAATTTAGATATTTGTGCCGGAAATGACTTAACATATTAACTCTTGTTTTCTGATAAAAATGATAAAAATTAAGTGAATTTAAGCTTAAAACAAGAAAAAAATCTGTCAATTATTTATTAAAAGAAAAATACATTAACAAGATTATTTTTCTGAGCCCATGGACACACATTTTGGTCAATAAAAAATAAAAAAAAGGGGGAAAATGTACAAAAATAATAAAAACAATTAAAAAAAAATACAATGATGGAAAAAATAGTGAAATAATAAATTAATAATAAAAAAATTGAATAATTAAAAAATATAGTTTCAACAAACTATTTTTATTTTTATTTTTTTTGTTTGTTTTTAAACATTTTTTATTTTATTAATTAAGCTTCTTGTTTTAAACATCAACTCACTTTATTTTGATGCATTTTCCAGAAAACAGAACATCATATTTTAAGTCATTTTGCTTCTCAAGTAAATGTATCTTGATTTAAGTCTATATATTTGTGCTGGAAAAGACAAAAACAAAATTTGTATGTATGTAAAATAAAAATAAAAAACATTTTTTTTTAAAAATGCATAATTTACGAAAGACAAAACTACAAAGTAAGAAAATGTTTTGCAGTGTAGTTTTGCTTGTAGATTCGTCCCTGTTTATTCCTGATGTTTACCAAGTCAACATTAAATCTGATCACTCAAGCTGTATTTTTAAAGCAGTAAGTGTTAATGCATGCATGTAAGTTATTGCTGCTGGTTTGGACTGTAGTTTTTGTGGTGGATGATTGAATTTCCGGAAGCTTTATGCTGAAGATGCTTTAATCAGCTCAAACACACTGTCTTAAATAATCTATTAGAGCAGTTTATAAACATATGAGACAATAATGAGCTTACTGACAGACCTTTAGCTTGTTTTATCGCCTGAAATGTGTAGTATCTTGACTCAAGGTTTAGTTGATCACTTTATCTGTATATTAAACAGCAGACCTGTTCTGATCGGCTGTGCTTGTGTTGCATCGTCACAGAAAGGAAAAGGACCTGGAAACGTTTCATTAACGGAAACCTGAGAATCCGTCATGTCGCTGCTTCTGTTGCTTCAGTCTTGTAGCTGCTGGTTACTTTATGCATAATATATTATCACAGCAAGATTGTTTTCCGTTGTGTAGGTTTTGAGGTTTCCCCTTGCTCCAATCCATCCGTTTCTGTTAGCAAACTGTGTCAGAGATCTCAGTTAGGACGGCTGTGGTCTTGTTTGTCTGCTGTAGTTCAGTTTCACACAGAAGGGTCACAGTGTTTTAAATGACACAGACAGACGAGCTGCTCATTTACAAGCCAGTTCGCTTGCATCTAGACCTTGTTTGTACGTGCATATACGCATGAAACCGCGAGATTGGGAGCTCTCTCTCTCTCTCAGAGCTCTTAGATGAAAGCTGTCAAGAACATGGCTAGCATGCATCTCACACCAAAATCAAAGGAAACATATTTCAAAATAAATACATTAAAATCTCAAAAGAAAATGAAGCCTATTTTAGGATTAAATATATAAATAAATAAATAGTACCATTACGTTTCTCAACATCGTTCTGCATTATTTTCATGACAATTAAGACATTTCCTCCCAAATTCATATGTAAAAAAAAAAAAAAAAAAACTCTATTTTTTTTATTGCTGTAATGCAAAAAAACATATAATTAGATATAAAATTAAATATTTTTATTAAAAATATAAATTGTATATAATTTATATATAAAAATATAAAATCTAATATTAAATATAAAATATTATTTAAATGGTCCAATTTTTTTTTTATTGTATTGTATGGTTGTTATGCATTTTACAAAGTATGTTAGGTATTTATGGTAGTATTTGTTTGTATGCTGTTTTTTTTAATGCAATTTTTTTTGTCAGATGCATTAAAAAACTATAATGAGAATCACCCATGAAAATAATGAGAATTACAAGCAAACTCCGAAGTAAAACATCACATTTGTGGGAGAAACGAGTTTAATTGTCATGAAAATTGAAAGTAATGTCACATAATGCAAAAAATCTGGATGACCATAAAAGTTTAGAACCATTATATACTTACAAATTCTCTGCATTGTTCTGCACTATTTACATGACAATTAAAGACATTTCCTCCCAAATTCATATCAAGTCTATTTTTTTATTACTGACCTTGTAGCTGCAAGTATAACGATTACTAATGTTAACAGTAGAAGAACGTAAATCTGTAGGTCCTGTGTGACAACAAGAAAACCTTTGCTCTGGTAGCTGTTTCTTGCACCGACGTAGATTAGAAATGTAGAATATAGGAGTAGAGTTGCTCATTTTTCATTTTTCTATTTATTTTTATTAGCGAAGATAATACTTGAACTTGTAAAGAAGGAAGGAAGATGTACAGAAAACGTTCCGGCCGCTGGATCGTATCGTTCATCGTGTCGCGCACTCGCGCTCTTTCTCCATTCCACCGTTGGACGGAAAGATGAGCGGAACGGACGAGGAAAGTCTGTCTGACAGGGTCCGGGATCCCAGAAGCCTTTGTGTTCGAGCGACAATCCACAGTGAAAGGCCAGACGATCGGACGTGGCTTTTTGTACTCGGCGAGAAAGATCCAGTCGCTCGTCTCTGAACTTCAGACTTTAATGAGACGAAACGGAGGAAGACGAGGAGGTCGATAGCTACGGAAACTGCCAAATGAACCAGAAAAGGAAACGCTGACGTTTTTTAAAACCCCATCTGAGCTTCTGTTGAGATGTTTATTTGTGTGGCAGACGCTCGGGATCTCACTGATCTGTGCTGGAATCCAGAAAATCTCAATCTAACTGTAATCATCTGAACTGATCAAACTGTTCCCATTCATGCAAACCGCAGTTACGCTCTATAAAAGAGCTTGGTAACACTTTACACGAAGCCTTTATGTATAATGCATCATAATGCATTATATGTTTTCATAAATAATTGCTATGCATTATAATATTTACAGATTGCTTGTTGCATCTGAAAATGGTTGTTTCTATCATGTTGCAATGCGTTGTACTTTCTAAAGGAGAAACAATATTTGATAATATAACTACACTTAAAAAATGTCCACCTTTTAAGTTTAGTTGCTGCCTTTAAATTTAAAGTATAATCAACTTGGTTGTGCAAGTGAATTCAAATTACATTAAAGCCGTTTAAAAAATCAAGTTGAATTTCATATAACTTATTTAAAAACATTATTTTGATGAGTTAAAGATGTGTAAAAACATAAGTTGCCATGACTTACTGATCAGATCACACAATGCATTATAAGGTGCATTACAAGCCATACTTTTATAATGCATTATACAGTATATAAAGGATTCATGTAAATTGTTACCAATATATTTACTTAGTCAACATGAAACCTGCATTTGAAACCCAATTTACATCTGTTTTGAAAAAAGTAAAGCAGAAATTAATTCTATCCACAAAGAATTGATTCTCTATGATATATTGAAAACAAGAGGGCTTGATGAGCTGAAATGGAAAGGCTTTTTTAATTGATGATCAGTCCAGAAGCATGTGTGGATTTCATGTTGACTTTAAAGGAGAATTTGGAGATGATTTGGATTTGATTGTGTGTGTTTCTCCACACGTACTCTGCCCAGATCATACAACATTATATATTGGGATTTCATGCATCTGTTCTGGATGAACTTAATCTTCAAATCTGGTCCACGAATAATTTAGACAACTATTAAAACACATTCCATACGTTTAGAAATACGGCATCCATTTCAGGTGTTTTTGTGCTGTTTTCATTTCATGATCAGGCCTTAAAAACAATTGCTCACCTCCAGAGATTCATTGCCATCTTTGTAATAGATTGCAGGTCTGTTCCTCGTCTGTGTGTGTACAGTAGACATTCATAAATCAGAAATAGTGAGCATCTCTCAATGGGCAGGTCTTTATCTAGTCATCGAATAAGATCGAGGAGTGAAATCTGGGTGTCAACGACCAAACCTGACCTCTAAACCTTCATGCCAGCATATGAGACGTTGCTTTTATCCTTTAAAAAAGACGCTCCCTCCAGGATCCCAAAGGACCAAAACCATGCAATTCTGCCATGCTGCCTGCGCTTGAACGCTGTGAATGCACAGATACTGATGAGGTAACGGCCTGCCCATGCATGCTTCATCAAATAACTTCAGTCTCCCTACAATCCTGCATTATTCTGATTTTACTCCATCCTGCACAGATGAAGCTGCATGCTGGAAAACGTTTCTTAATCATAAGAGTTTGCACTAGTTATAGTTAAAAACCTGCCAATGTGTTTCATGTGAGGGTCTTTCTATCTGCATTATCGTTTTGTATGAATATACGCCAAAATTCCCGTCTCAGAAACTCATCATGAAACTGAAGCGAAACGTTCAGATTAGTTTGTAAGAAGAGTTTTAAGTAGTGCCAGTGTTATTTTACTATCATTGATATACTATTATCAATTTTGTTAATATTTTGTGTTTTGTTTTCATTTTCGTTTTAGTTAAAAAATTTTGTTGTGTTTTTGTCATTTTTATTTTGAGTTGCACTGCAAAACATTTTTTTTTTTTTTATTTTTTTTTTTATACTCAGTATTTTTGTTTTCCAGTACAAATATCTAAACATTCTTAAATCAAGATACATTTACTTGATTTGCAAAGTGTTGTTTTATCAAAAAAATATCAAAAATGTGTTTGTTTTTGCAAACATCTGCCAGCGGGGTCAGAAAAATAAACTAAATTCAAAGATTAGATTATTTTTTTCGCCCCATTGGCAGATATTTTTTCTCATTTTAAGCAAAACGTTGTCTAATTTTAATATTTTTTTACTAGAAAGCAAAACCTAATATCTTATGTCATTATGCTTCTCAATTAAATGTATCTTGATTTTAAGGATGTTTACATATTTACAATAGAAAACAAGACAAAACTACTGAGAAAATATTTTTTGCGTTGTATTTTACTACATTTTAAGTCATTTATTTTATTTCAAGTAACAATTTTTTTATAGTTGCCGTTGTAGTCAGTTAGAATAACCCTGAGAAGTGCCAAATGTAATTTCTCAAGTGTTTATTTCTCTTTAGCATCCATTATTATGCTCATCTTTATTCATATATCCACGATTTTTATTTTGATAAAACACCTACTCGTATTGGAAAAACAGACACATCAGCAAAGCACACGGATGATTCTGAAGCACTGAAATCGTTTGCTGAAGCACAGTATTTTGCAGTACATTTCATCCATTGTACTGTCTAGTATTTTCTAGAATAGCTGCTGTTTTCAGTGAGGTTTGGTCTGTAGAAATGAGGCCAGAACCCCTGCCAGGCGTCTGGGTTAAAGTGCCATATATCTGTAGCCACACCAGAGCAGGAGATCATGCTAAATTTATCAGCAATAAATCATGCGTCGTCCGTTCCTCTTGTTTCAGCTCACGTCAGGATTCACCTTCACTTACATTTAGAGGGAGTTCAGTGGAGGATAAAGGGTTCGTTTTCCACATCCGTACGCTCGAGTGTGTAAGCGCCACACAATCAGAAACAGCAGAAATAAACCAGAGAGAGAGCGTTTATTTTCTCTGTCTCGGTGCCAACACTGCAAAATAAAACTGATGTTCTTCCTCTGTATTTTTGTGGTGCTTTCCAGCACAAATATCTGAAAAGATACATTTACTTGAGAAGCAAAATTACTATATTCTGGGAAAAAAAAATGTATCAAAATTTTGTTTGTTTTTGCTTAAAACAAGAAGAAGAAAAATATCTGCCAATGGACTCAGAAAAATAAACTTCATTTAAAAGCAAACAAGATTTGTCTTGCCTCGTTGGCAGATATTTTTCTTGTTTTAAGCAAAAACTCATTCAAATTGATACACAATATCTTAATATGCTTTTGCTTCTCAATAAATTAATCTCGAGTTAAGAATGTTTAGACATTTGTACTGCACTGCAAAAAAAGATTTTACTTAGGATTGTTTTGTTACTTTGTATATTTGTTTTCCAGCACAAATATCTGAACATTCTTAAATCAAGATACATCTACTTGAGACGCACCGGGGGGGGAGTATCAACATTTTTATTTTTGGTTAAATAAAAAAATAATAATCTAGCTTTCCCTTTGAATTAAGATTATTTTTCTGACCCCATTGGCATTTTTGGCAAAACATCTTTTCTTTTTTTTTTAGTTTTAAGCAAAAACTAGATTTTTCTAGATCAGAAAACAAGATTTAATTTGTTAAGTCATTTTGCTTGTCACGTAAATGTATCTTGATTTAAGAAAGTTTCGATATTTGTACTGGAAAACAAGACAAAAATAGTAAGAAAATTATTTTGCGGTGTGAAAAACAAGACAAAACTACTGAGTACACTGCATTAAAATAAAAAAAAAGAAGATTTTAGTATTTTCATCTTTTTCCAGTACAAATATCTAAACATTCTTAAGATATTAAGTCTTGTTTTATGAAAAAAAATATTTAAATAGTCAGTTTTTGCTTAAAACAAGAAAAAAATAATTGTAATTCAAAGGGAAAGCAAGATTATTTTTCTTGCCCCATTGTCAGATTTCTTTAAATCTGTTTTTTTAAGCAAAAACTCACTTAATTTTGATACATTTTTTTAGAAAACAAAACTTATTGGTCATCATGCTTCTCAAATAAATGTTTCTTGATTTAAGAATGTTTAGATATTTCTAAAGGAAAACAAAAAAATACTAAGTAAGAAATGTATTTTTTTGCAGTGAATGTAGTTGTGAAGAACACTAAATCTATGAGCTCCAGTTGATCTGTATTGAATTGTATTTCTGTCAGGTGTGCAGCTCTTTGTCTGTTCGTCGATCCGTTCATTTGCAATCGAGCTCATCTCTATTCCGGATCCGTGTTGCTCTGGCGTTCGTTAAGCGGCTGTTCGGGGTTCGTTAAGGGGCCGCGGGAGTGAAGAGCGGATGCCCTCGGGCTCGACTCTCCCCGAAAATAGCTGTGATTGTCAAGAAAAGGAAGTCAAATGTAATTGACTACAAGTCAAGAAATAATGAAAGGAACCTTTTTAGACAGGGAAAAAAATTAATGCTCCTCATTTAGTTTTTAGTTTTTTTTTTGGACAGGGTGAGATGTCACTAAATAGCAAGGGGAACGAGATTTAGCGAGCATTGGAAATGCATGCAGGCGCAAAACCTGAAAGGCCACAGATCTTTTTAAACTCTCAGGGCATCAGACTCAATGATGTCATGGTTTGTGGATCCTCTTGGGCACCTGACGTGCCATGAGCCTTTAAGACGCGACAGAAACTAATTCACCTGCTTCATCACGGCGCTAAACGCATCCAAGAGCATCTTTTGATCTTCCTGCAGAAGCAGCCAGGAAATGTGCAATCATGTCTGATAAAACTACGATTCAAAGCAAAGCAAAAAAGGCCTTTTTTTAAAATTCTGTCATGTTTTAAAAACCAGATAGCTAGCGAACACTAGAGACTTTGCTTCGGTAGCTTAGCTTCGTCCAGCGTGTTGTTAATATAATCAGAATAGTTTGTAGCACAGGGTGTAGGGGGCGGGGTTAGGGTGAGGGGCGTGGTTATGTGATTAGGGCGGGGTTTGGGTGATTTTTGACTTCGCTCCCTGGTCATTTTGACTGATTTTTCTG